GCCAAAAATTAAGGCATCTCTTATTTCATAATGTAAATAAATAAGTAAGTAAACAATCTATTGAAACAATTCTAACTTTTCCAAATCTTTTTATAGAAAGTCAAATGAAACACTTTTTTTATATGCCTCAATGCCATCTTATCATTATCAAAAGAAAGCTCCCGTATACTCTGAGACATTTCAACCACCAGATGTTTGTTAACACACAAAAGTGATAGCTACGATTACCAGCAATGTTCCATTCTATCCAAAATGCCTTAGTTATCTTTTTTAAGGTTAATTACTATTTTCCCTATTTTTTAGACTTAACTATTTCACCTTAGAGTACATTATATTAACTGTACTTTTTGAAATTTCAAAGTGTCATTTTTGTATTGCAGCTACCATGATTAGAGTCAAACACATCACAAGTACTTGTCTCTCTGAAATAAAAATGTTTTTCTTAACAACAAAAAAAACTTTAACACCAAGTAATAAAGCTATACTAGGAATCTACAACTACTCAAGCTCTGATAGCAAACCCAGACTTCACACAGTATATCACAGTATATAATTCATGCCAGTCAGTTATTATTCAGAACCTTACAAAATCAGACGTATTAATAGCCCATTTACAGATTGAGAAACAAATTCCCTCATAACAACCATATAAAAGCTCTAAACTTCCCTGGCTGTTCAACTCTTTGCCATTATTCAAGAGTACTAAGAATCTAACACTGCACTTAAGAATTTATCTCAAATTTTGAAAACTGGTAGTAATTACCAAAATAATTAATGTATGCCAAGAAAAAAAAAGGCTGCCTTCTCACAGGGAAATGTACTATTCCCTTCACCTTTAACATTTTATACATCATAATGAATGCCAGATTTTAAAGCACCATTTTGAAGACTATCAAGCAAAGCTTACAAGTTTATTGACACTTTTAACAGAAAAGGTAAACTCTACTAGCACACACATTTGCTCCATTATTTGTTCCTTCCCCACCCCAAATTACATTGATTAGTCAAATTTTAAAAGTACCTCCACATATAAATTAGAAATTTCTGACTTGAGAAATGTTTAAATACATGATAACCATTTTTCCCCTAAAATTTACATGATTGGGGCCTGGTACCATAGCCTAGAGGCTAAAGTCCTAGCCTTGTATGCACCAGGATTGCATATGGGTGCCAGTTCTTATCCTGGAGGTCCCACTTCCCAGCCAGCTCCCTGCCTGTGGCCTGGGAAAGCAGCAGAGGACAGTCAAAAGCCTTGGGACCCTGCATACGCCTGGGAGATGTGGCTCTTGCTCTTGGCTTCAGAACATTTCAGCTCTGGCTGTTGTGGCCACTTGGGGAGTGTGGATCAGGGGGCGGAAGATTTTCCTCTGTCTCTTCTCCTCTCTGTATATTTGACTTTCCAATAAAATTGAATAAATCTTAAATTTTTTTTTGCCTATGTACCATTACTACATTTATCAGCATATTAAATAAATGTATACTTAATACATTTACTTGGGCAAACCCTATTCATGATTCCTATTCATCTTTCAATTTGAGAGCACCAACAATTCATGAAAACTAGTACTTATACCTCATGGAAATGTAGTAATTACAGAGAAATGAAGAGGTATCCTATAATGTAGCTAGCATCTCAAAAATCATCATTCTGGCAAGAAGAGCTATTATAACCAAGAATGGCACCACTGAGAGCTTTCACACTGTTTCCTAACCTGCCTGGTTTCTCTAGATCTACTCCTCTGTGTTTCGGGGAGTTAAACTACAAGAACAAAACAGAGAAGAGGCTATTTCTAACCCAAGATCACAGATAATCAGATTTTTAAAAGATAAATCCACAATTTTACAAATGCGGCAACTGCAGCAAAGACACTCCATGGCTTGCCCAAGATTATCTAGTCAGTAAACAGAGTTCAGAGGTTAAGGCCACATTCCACTACCCCCAATTTCCAATCCTTTCACTTTAACAGGAATTGTCTTACGACAAGCAAACGAACCTAGTTCTTTATTAAAGGAAAAGCCTTTATAGAAACATAAACAAATCGAGTGAAAAAAAAAAAAAAGCAAAACCACTTGTAGATTCTTATCTCCTTAGTGAGTAACCATCACTAAAGTGACAACTAGGAAGCAGAAGTAATTCCACTAATCACTCCAAGAAAGAAACGACAGTTTTCCTTTTATGCAAAAGTTAGGTAATTTCCTTATTCTACAAGAAGTTTTTCTATCTTACTCCACTTACAAAATAAAAGCCAGAAAAAATGCTATAAATTTCATGCTTATATAAAATCTGCATATGCCATAAAGCTAAAAACAATTTTTACTTCCTACCAAATTTCATTTTTCAAACAAATATTTAAAATCTTACGGTAGAGGGGGAATGTCATGTTGCATAATATCAAAGTAAAAAGAATCCTCACAGGAGAATTTCTTTTTAATCACACTTAAAATAAATTCATCAATTTTATAACCTGTAAACTTCAAAAATTATGAAAACTCAACTCCCCTGTTGATCAGACTCCAACTATTATGACTGCATTTGTCAGCTCACTCCATATGCTGATTAATACCTATTTTTAAACTCACAAGTATATACCCCATCCTAAAAAACTATAACTTGAGATTTCCTAGAAATCTTAATATAGTACACGAACTCGCTAAAGTACACTTCATTTTATCAGTTAACACGAGAGTAACAAATTCTTTCCAGGTAAAAACAGAAAGTCACTGAAACTGCAGTTTTACTCATCAAACAACCATCAAATCAATGTTAAATAAATTTAACTTTATACTCAACTAGGTAAAACTTGCCAAGTTACATGATTGAATTAAGACAATAAAAAATACTGTGCATGAGACTCTGCACGTGCTCAAATAGACACAAAGTTTTAAGATTATCGAAAATGTGCTCAGAACCCTGGTGTTCCAAAATGTTTTTATAACTGTCAGCAAAATGCATACATATATATATGTACGTAACACCTACACACCCAGGCACTTCAAATGATGCCTTGCATCCTACAGGTACTCTCATGAATGGGTGAGTAATATGCTGAATGCATAAAAAGAAAATAAATCAAGGACTTCAAGCTCAAATGAGAATAGTTAACCATCTTACCAGAGCAACATGACTGCTCTGGTAAGCTGAAAACACTTCAAGCAAGAAAAACCACTCCAATGAAAACCAGGTGGACTTCGGTAAGCAGAACACAGATTTAATATACTACAAATTCAGTTTACTAAAATAGTTGAGATAAGTTCCCTCATCTCTCCACCTCCCAAGAAAATCAAAATAAAAATTGTTACTACTGCTTTTAAGGGAAAAAAAGATGGTGAAAAAAAGATGGTACTCCTAAAAGGAATAGCTGTCCCCATAACTTGGCCAGACATCATTAGCTATGTTAAGACAAGAACACTACCAAATAAAACCTCCAAGGAGCCGCAGCAGTCCTCCACGAGTGGGTTTTCAGAAGAGCCTTGAGAAGAGGCAGTGATATACAGGTCGTGTCAGCACTGGAGGCATCAGAGCCAGCCTCATGCGAGAGCAGAGACAAGTTTTGTAACTCTCACCAAATCTTAAAGATGGAGAATTATTACCTTTGTAATAATTTCACCAAACAGGAAAGAAGCCATGGAAATCCCTTGAAGATGTTTAAAATATTTATGAAAGTAGAAATTAATTTCAAATACTAGTAAATCTTGGCATTTACATTAAATCATTCTCTTCTGCCAAGTACTGAATCAAAATTAGCCTAAATCATTGCCTGAGAAGGTGTGAAAAGGCGCCACCAGATTTATTTAACAGATCTGAACGGTCATCAACACCTTACTAAGACTAAATCATAAGTTATGCAAAGTAGATGTTCTGTGTCCAAAATCAAACAAAGGCCACCAAAACCATGCTATGCCTTCAGGTCACAGACATTCAAAGTTGGCCAAAACTTTGTAATCATTATAACACCCCTAATGAAAAACATCAATAATTTTATGTCAAAAAGGCCCAAGGGTCTGGTAATGTCAACACACTGTATAAATCCAGATGCAAGGTAACTTGAACCGCCCAACGCATATATTCATAGAAACAATCTGATATAGTTTCCGGAGGAGAAATGCTATGGAAAATACAGCTCTACTCAAGTCAGCTAGACTTTCTACTCACGATACTAAAGTGAAAGATTCACAATTGCAAAGTAATTTTTTTTCCAATTATTAAAATATTTACTTCTAAAGCCCAGAAACTAAGAAACAAGCATCTTTGAGTTGTTGAACAAACTCTATCCCCGAAGTAAACAGGAAAACTTCGAAGTGTCCCAAGTTGTACCCCACAGCAAGTATGCAGATAGCAAGCAACACATTTCCATGCCCTCCAATAACAGCTTTCAACTGAGCTAGGAGCCTAAGAGACTCCGTACAATCAGTCAATACCTGCTAAAACCTCTGGTTTAGGGCATTACAGCCTTTACATTTGTGCAAATACTTGATTCGGTAGATAAGATCTAAGCCGCTAGCTCCCTATCCTCACACATCCACAATCTTCCAACAGAAATCCTAGGTCTGCGTTTAAGAATTAAAAAAAAAAAAAAAAAAAAAGGGAAAGGAGAGGCGGAAAAAAAAAAATCTTGCCAGGGTTCCTCGGAGGCTGAGTAGCCAGCCTGTGAAATGCTAATGCCGCTTCGGAGCAGTTAGTCACCAGCTATTGTGTCGGGCTGGAGAAAGCCGAGCCAGCCGCGCGTGCAGAGCGAGCGCCCTCCCGCCGCGCGCCCCCGCGCACACGGACGCGCGCGCCGGCCCCTCCTCCTCCGGCCTTGCACTGCACAACACTCATGACGTATCTTTATTTCTAGCACATTAACAAAATATCACAAATAAACTGCCCGTGGTCCCTGCGGCCCCGGGGGTGCGGGTCCCCCGACCACTGCCCCCCTCAGGCCTCCCCATCTTTCCCGTGGCCTTTGGAGTTTTCACCTTCTAGGGCCAAGTTTTTTTTTTTTGTCTCCGTAAAAAAAAAAAAAAAAATTGCGGGAAATTCAATTTTTTATTCGACTCGGGGAAAAAGTTTCTTTGCTGTGCGACGTGAATGTCTCACCAGATTCTGGTAGGTCCTGGGATGCTCCTTGCCCGTCCAGTCGGTGCGCCGGGGCAGCAGCTGCGGGCAGAGGACGCCCCGTGAGCCCCGGTCCTACCCCGCAAGCCCCGGGCCGCCCGCTGCCCGCGCCCGCCCGCCCCGCGCCCCGCCGGGGAGCCCCGCAGCCCCGCTCGGCCCCGGAGCCGCCGCGGCCACGGACGAACGGCGCAGCGGGGCCCCGGGGACGAGCGCTCCCTCCCGACGCGCGCCGGCCCGAGCGGCCGGGGCCCAACGCCGCCGCCCTCACCTCCTTCTCGGCCACCTCGCGGATCAGCACCTGCCAACAACAAAAGCGGCGGGGGAAGAGAGCTGAGCCCCGCGTCTCCCCGGGCCGCGGCCCCGCGCCGCCGCCGCCTCCCTCCCCCACGCCCGCCGGCCCCCGGGCCGCGCGCCGCCCTACCTGAGCCGCCTGCTGACACGGTCCATCTTCCAGGAACCGGGCGATGAGGAAGTAGAGCTCTGCACGGGAGACAGAGGGATGCGGGAGGGAGAGAGACGCAGGCTTGAGCGGCCGGCGGGGGAGAGCGCGCGCGGGGAGGAGAGCCCGGTGCCGGCGGCCCCCCTGCTCCGGCGGGAGCCCCCCGACTTACCCGATCGCAGCTCCGAGAGGCCTTTCCTCTCGCAAGACATGTTTCTGGGTCAGCCCAGGGCCGCCGGCGGGACAGCCCGCCGCCGAGGGGAGAGCGGGGACGGCGCCGCCGCCTGCCCTATAGCTGTCAGTGTGCGTTCACGAGCCTCGAGCCTCGGCTCCACCATTCAAGCGACGGCGGCGGAGGCGGAGGCGGAGGAGGAGGAGGAAACAACAACTCCGAGGCAGCGGCTGAGCAGGCCCCTCCGCCGCCGATCCCTCCGCCGCAGAAACGAGTCCGCCGCCTCGGCCGCCCCGGCTCGCCCGGCCCTCGGCCCCCGCCCCCCGCGCCGCGGGCCCGCCGAGGGCGAAGAAAGAGCGCCCGGGGCCCGGCTGGCCGCCACGCCGCGGCCGCCCGCCGCCTCCTCGCCCGGCCGCCCCGCCGCCGCCGCCGCCGCGGCTCGGTCTGTCTCCAGCCGGAGAAGATGTCGGAGCCGCCGCTTGGCTGCGAGGCGCTTTTCTCTGTGGAGGCCGATGGCGGGGAGGGAGGGGGCCGAGGACGGCTTCGCGGAGGGATCTGACGCACGGCCAGCCGCAGCACAGGGTCTATTCAGCGGCGCTGGCTGGGCTGAGATGGAAGTTAGTTTCTATGTAGCAGAAATAGGAAACAAATGAAGCAAAACTGCCCAAAGAGGGGAAATGCCCCAAGGATGGGTCTCTCTCGCTCTCTCTCTCACGCGCGCACGCAGGCACACGCAAAGCACTCTCACGCTGGGCAAACTCGGGCTCGCGCTCCCCTGCCCGACTTGAATGATAGTGTTTGCTTTCTGTCTCTTGCCATGTGCGTGTGTATAAGTGCTGCGGACTGGCATCCGTGTAAGTCTTGTCCTGCGTTATTTCTGCAGCCTCTGCAAGTGTGTGATTTATCGGAGTGCTGGATATTGCCATCGTGGTTCGGGCTGCTTGTTTTAATCACTTAGCGTTTTGCGAACCCGTTATTTGCGGAAGCCACCACCTCTGCATTTTTCTTTTATTACTGACATCGCCTTAAGCGAACGTTTTCTTAAAAAATGTTTTTATTATTATGCGGGCAAAGCGAACTCCTGTTTTGCGCTTCAGATATTCTTTTCTTTTTCCCCCCGATTACCGAAAGGCTAGCGATGGCTAATTAAGGATTTGCAATTGCAAAACCCTTAAAGCTTTTTTAAAAGTGTTTGCAAGAACGGATGTTGTAAACCTGAGGGAGAGGAAAGGACGCTAGTATTTATCTGTAACTGATCTGGAGGTAATTTAGTGACAGATCGATAACCTACCGAAGGACACTGAAAGAGTATACTACAGTTTAGCTAAGGTGATTGGTGATTAAATAATTTAAATTATCTGTGTATCTCGCAGTTGCAGTTGACTTCGTCATGCTAATTAATGGCTTCTAATTTGAGGTGTAAACCATTCCTGTTTACAGTTAATGACGAGAAGACTTCTGGAAGGAAAGCTGACGAAAAGAAAAAAAATCGTCTTTGGTAAATTAGTATGTAATGACCGGCTTTATATACTAAATCATACATCTGTGCTGATGAGGGTAAAGGCCTTGTTTTTTAAACGAATGTGGGTGAAATTAATGGAAACAATGGAAAAAGCCATTTGTTAGAAAACAAGGACACCAAGTGATATTTATCACCAGATGATTTAAGCACTTTCCAAAAAAGACTTGAAAGTTCGGGGTTTTTTAAAAGAATTACATTTTAAAGGGAAGCCGTAGAGACGTTCTTTTGTTAACATTTAACAAAAGATTCTCCCTAAAAATCCTCGAGACTAAACTGCATTTTATGGATCTGGTTTTTAAAAGATTGTTTGTGGCCAAAGGATCGAGAAGCTGTATTGTGGTTTTCTGGATCGTTTCCTCAAGCCTTGTTCCCTCCTAGCTTCTTACATGCCTGGTAGGAAAGGCTGCAACTGCCTTGGGCTGCACTGCAAGACTGTGCGGCGCGACAGCCTGTTCTAAACATCCAGAAATCATCCAGAATTCATCAGACATGTGAGAAGGAAGTGGGGGAAAGCCTCAACCCTTGTAATAGGAGGTAAAATTGCCTTTTGGAACAAAATCTTAATGAAATAAATGTGGGACATGGCTGGTGATTGGTCCTATTGCAGCCCACTCATCAGAATGACTGCTTTTCATCGACATGGCTATTTTCAAGTACTGAAAATTTTTACCTTAAAGACATTTAATTCTGGACTAACTAGGATAAGGAAAATAGCCTGCTTCTACCTGGTCAGTCTTGAAAAAGAATCAATATTATTAAGTTCCTTTTTTTTTGCAATTATAATTCTTTCCAGGAACAAGACTATTTTAACTTTTTGAGTATTATGTTTTCAATTAAGAATGGTATTTTACATTATCAAGATGTTTTCAAAAAACGGATTTTTTAGGAACTAAATTTGATCACTGAGCTTTTCTGGTTTTGCATTGTTTGTGTTAGTCTAACCCTTACTTATAGATGTTTTATCCTCATGGAGGAAAATAGACCAAGCTATAACATGGAATATAAGATTATACTGGGAAAAGTTTTCCATATAGATCCTATGGGTGTCATGTCAACATGGAAAGCTGGCAAGATATCTCCTGTACAATTCTCATTTAGAAGCTGAAAGGTATTTTCCTAAGTACATTAATACTAAGCTTCTAAAACATGTTAAGGAAAATCCCTCCTCTAAGTTTTCTGAATATAATATTCCTATCATTTTTACTATCTTTGAGTGCTTATAATCTTTCTTTAAAGTATTTGATTTGAACATAATTAGCTCTGCCCTTGAACTAATAAATATCAGTCTAAGAAAGAACAGGTTTCCTGGTAAAAATTAAAATATCTTTTCAGCCAAATAAACTGTTGGTTTTTAACAATGGATATCAAAATGAATTTTATTAAAATATTCCAATGTAACCAATATTCCATATAACCTTTTAAGTTCTTGAAACATAAAACACATTTCTGAGTTCTGGCATTATCAGTCAATTAGAGTGGTATTGAAGTGTACATGTCAACCGGAAGAGCATCTTGTTTGGAAATGCTGTGTTTTAGGTATCAAAGCAATGAATCTTGCAGTTCTCTTTTCAGCTGTTTCTTTTGCCTAGAAGGATGGTTCTGATTCCATCTGTATCCTTTTCTTTTTGTTTAGCTGTGTCATGGAGTTCCAAAATAAAATGTCAACTTTAAAAGATGTCAATGACCTTTAAATAAGAAGGCCAATAAGAAGTGATAAAAGTTTGGAAAATCAACAACTAATTTCTTTATACAATGTGTTTTCTTCAAAAGAATCATAAATATTTTTTGAAAATATAAAAGGTTTTATTACATGTATTTCTTTTCAATGAATGATATTGCAGGAAATAAGATAAACATTGGGCAAAAATTTTGATCAGATAAGCACTTGAATTAAATAATCAGATTTTGCCATTTAAATCCCTGGAGGTGGAAGATAGAGTAGCCTTTTTAACCTTTAAAGTTCTTCCGTGAATTCTTTATGAGAATGAGTTCATTTTCATGCAGCCCATTTAAGAAATGGGTTCATATAACAGTGAACATACATGATTCAAAGATACCTCTACAGTTACAACTCTGTATACATTAACTCTGGGTTTTGTTTTAATGTTATGCTTCTTTTATAGGAAAAGTTTTAGCCTATAACATACATACCTAGAAAATTAGACAACACTGTGACCAAAATGAAGATACTCTGAAAATGTTCACCTGCCCTAGCAACGATGGTTGGATTACAACCATCCCAAAGGTCTTGCTAGAATCCACACTCTTCTCTGTGCTGTTTTCCCCAGTTCTGAGTGTTTCTACACATCTGTTTGTCTACTCTCTCAACACACACATCCTTGCATCACAAATCGTGAACATTGATCAGATTTGAAGCACAGAAGCAGAGACATGAGGCTATTTCAAAAAGTCTGTGGAAAAATGGAATTAAGAGCACATTTCATTTAGATGTGTAGAAGTTTGAAATTCTTGCGTAGAGGAATTCTTCAGAAAGTTCATAGGGAATGCATATTGATTGGAAGAAGCCATGAGTAGATTTTAAAAGTTCTGAGCCAAAATAAAGTTTTAAAACTCCTTTTCCGTGAACTTTTGGAAGCATTTGTGTACTGTTTAGTGGCTGCAGAAATAATAGAGAAAGCAATATTTTTGGCATTTAACATTTTAAGGTCATTATATCTCACTAAGAAAGATTTTTACTTAAATTTTCTTTTAATCTATAGCAAAAATTAGCTGGCCCCAACAATCATAGCCTTTATGTATTTAATTCTCTCAACCTTTTGATTTTTGTTTTTCTTTTCTTCTACATAAATGTATTTGGCAAAAAAAAAATTGTAACTTTTTAGTCCTTGTAATGGATATATGCATGTACATTCATTGAAATAATGGTTAACAAGCCTGCACAAAGAATGCTGTCATACAGTTTAATAATTTTTCAGCTGAAATATATATGATAAATTTAAGGAAAGATTTTAATTTCAGTTCATACCCACAAATCCCATCATTATCATCATTTTCCTGGTTATCTTTGACTGCAGAGAAATGTAGGTGAGATGAAACTGTTACAGTGGAATTTTATCAGAGCAGATCAACAAACTGATTTATACATAAGAGAACTTTCAAAAGGTCTATCAAATGGTAATAACAGATGTGTAATATCGCCTCCACAGTTATTAGAGGTAGTGTGACCGGCCATCCCTAGGGAACAACTTAGTTACGTGGGATCCTTTGAGAAGGAGGAAATGCAGTGTTTTTTTCCAACCATCCTCATTTCTCTAGCTTGCACGTTATACTTCACATTTGTTTTTGTCACTCAGTGTTTTGCTTTTTAGGGGTAACAGCATGTATAAGATTTTCATCTTTCCCTCACATTCCTGCATTTGTTTGTTCAAATTTCCCTTTTTTTTTCCCCCATGATTAAGACTTTAGTTTCCAAAGGTAAACAAATATAAATGAAATAGATATTTATGTACATATTCTATATTTTATTGGACAAGCAATTCTCATTTTATATTGCTTGTTTGAATAAATATTAAAACTCTGAAATAAAAAGATGAGTCTATTCTTTGCTTTTAAGCAAACACTGGTTATCTTACATTTAAGATATTGTTTTTAAAAGATAAGAAGAATTTATACAGTAGGTGTCAAAAGGAGGAAAGAACAGTCTGATCAGCTGCATCTTCCTCTCTGTCTTCCTCCCTTCTTTCCTATCTCTGGTTTTCCATAGCAGAGGGGAAAAATTAAGTGACAAGTAGCAAGAATGTTCTGTTTGTACAGTATAGATAAGCATTCGTGTGCATTACTAAACTTTTGTTATTTTAACACTTGTGGCTAATTCAATACACGTGGGGTCCTTTTAGGTGCTAGATTTTTACTGACTCGGATGAATTATTGTAATTTTTTCTTTTTTTTTTTTCACCACCAATCATATTTATCACTCCAGTAGAATTGGACTGGGCTGGAGGGTCTTGCTGCCTCCAGGGAGTCCCACAAATTATTTTGTCAAAATTATTTTTGCACCTTTCAGACTCTAAACTTTATAGGAATTACATGGACTCAAGAGTATGCTTAACATGGCTTACCTCTTTGAACATTTTAGATGGGGAAACTCATTTTGTTTTCAGATCCATATCCAATCATACCATACAACAATCTGTGTTGTACACATGATGGCAAATTTTCATGGCAAGATAGTAAAGATATTTTTCTCTTAATGTGTACTTACAGGGATTCTTTCATTAAGATAACAAATACCTAGGTCATTTCCTGTTTAAATAACCCAACTGATTTTCTGTTGCATTATTTTATCTCCTGTTCCTTTGTTATTGTTAAGAGAGTTTTCATGGAATTTTCTGTTTTTGTGTGAAGTTCATTTAAAAGGTGAGGAAATCAGAGAAACACATTTAGAGATAGAGTGGCCAGAGAGGGAAGAGGTAGGAAGGAGATGTTTCCCCTTTCATCTTGTGTCCAACAAAGAGGACACATTGCCTGATAGCCACCATCAAGTCCCAGGAGAGGGAAGGCACATCCTGGGGTAGGGGTCACTATTGACAAGTAGACAGACTGTGTTACATAGGATGGGAGAAATACGGATTCCAACTTGTGAAATGTATTTTTAAGGGTTAGGAAAGTAAATAAGAATATCTGGTAACAAGTGTGGGAAACCCCAACTGCGGCTTTGTAATTGAATATTTTTCCTGGGCGTTAAGTATTTAAAATAGGAATTCACAGTCAACTTATAACATCTGGCCATTGCCTCTATGTGCCATTTCTACGATTATCGTAGCTTCATAGCTGCACCTCTCTACTTCCTCTCTTGTTCAGCAGAGAAACTATTGTTTAAACACTGACTTCGAGTTTGATCCTTATTCATGCTACTCTTCAAAATGGAGATGCTCAACTCACCAGAGGCTGACTGTAGATGTGAGAACCAACCAGCCAGCAGTGTCCCCTTCTGATGGCTGCATCTGGAAAATAAAGGTTTCAG